ATTGCAAGATTGTACCGTTCTTTAGTGAAGGCTTTCCCCTCCTTATATCTCCCCCCGCCCCGGAAAACTTGCTTTAGAGTAGGATTTCCCCCTCCGTAAAAATGACTTTAGAGTAGGATTTCCCCTACGGAAATCCCACACCAGATTCAATTTTTTTTGTGGGAAAATCATACACTATGTAATAGATATGGAGTGCAATTTACACAGAGCCACCCCCCCCCCCCCCAAAAAATATAATAGCTATACTTATGTATTAGGGGAAAGAAGGCAACATACTGTTACAAGTGTCCCTTCTTCAAAATGGCGACCTGTTCCATTGAAACATACGAAGTATGAAAATGAAAATTTTAAATTTTATTTTTCTCATTAAATGTGTAACCATTTTTGAGGCATTAAAATCTTTTCTTTTCATCTTCTCAAACTTATTTCTGAAAAAATTTCGGTACAATTAAACGGATCGGACAGATTTTAACTGTATTCATACAACAAAAATGGTATTTTATTTTAAATGCATTCTCTCTCTCCAATTGTATTTCAAACTACAAGTACATGTGCATTAGGAGTTTCTCTAAACTGCTGTGCTTAAATATTGGTTGAAACTAAAGATGATTTTTTTTTCTTCTAGAAATTTGAAAGAACTATATATGAAAATTGTATAAAATGGCCACTTAAAATTAATATCTTAATTTTATTTGATATATAGCTTTATTTTGTAAAGCTATACATGTGGTTTTTATTCAGAATTTTCAATTCCAGAAAATCTTCCAGAAAATATTGAGCTCAGACTTGAACAAACTTTTTATTTTATCAAAGATGTATCTATGAAACATTACTTACTGACAGAAAAAAATTGCTTGCTCAAAGCTGAGTTCTATATTTTTCAAAGGAAAAATGTCAAGGATAAGGCATATTTTCGGCTTATTTTGGTTGTATAGCAAAATTTACATCATTTCTGGCGTCATTTACAATTAGTGAGTGCATATGAGACACATGCATTAAAAATATTTACAATATAATTTTTCTACATAATAAAAAAAAAACCAGTTTAATACACTTGAATCACATTTAAAAAATACTGATTTATGAGGGCCTAAATTGATTTTTATGATATACAGTCCTTTGCAAAACTTTAAGAAAGTACATGCATTTGCTCTTTGCTTTCAAATCCAATATTATATCGCTAGGGTTAATACTTATGCTTTCAAATTGACTAGCAAAAGCAGTGTTTCTTGTCTTATTGTGTTTATGGCTTTCGCTTATTCACCTTTGAGGAACTACTCGATTCAAATACCGGAGAAAAAAGGTATGAAGAAGCCACCAATAAGAGAAAATTTACATTTTCTCATACACTCTTTGTAAAAAGGATGGATCTGTAGAAAAAATACTGGGCCTTTAGAGAGCAAGCTTATTATCATATCACTAAAAGTGTCCTTGACTTATTTTCCAATTTCCCAACTTTTTATAAATTCGACAATTCTTGAGTCGAAAACGCACATATTTCCATTAAAAATCAGTTGACTTTCATGTAAACTTTTTGCCACAATATTATCGATATGATCTAAGCATTGATAAAATAGGAGAAATTCTACTCTGAGAAAGAGTGGGAAATTTGGCTCAAGTGTGAGATTTCCACTCGGGGGGGGGGGGGGGTAATAATACTCTGGAGTACAGATTCCGGGGGGGGGGGGGGGCTGGCTATGGGGAAATCCTATTCTACAACACCGTTAAACTGTCGTAACCGGAAGGGTGATAGCCGGGTACAGATGCCCAAGTTACTAAGCGACTACTAGGCTTCAGGTAAAATGTTTTGCTTGATATCGTTTGAGAAATTGTCCGTTGCATTAGCTGTCCAAGTTTTATAATTCTATGCCAAATGTTTTTCAAATTACGAGCCGGAAAGGGTTTAAGCAAATTTGCTATAACAAGGATATCAATAGTCTCGTTTAAAGTCATCATTTCGCAAGTTTTAAGTTCGATACAATGACCTTGTAAGCAGATATAACCTATCATTAAGTCAAATGCTGACTGACATATTTCATACTAGTTGTTAGGCCATTATTTGAACACTGAAATGTCTACGGATTTAGCCGTTTTTCCCGTTCGTAACAAGGAGAACATGGCGAGTATTACCGGTCGGCAGGGGATGTTTACTTATCCACGGCACCTGATCTCACCTCTGATGTTTTTGGAGGTTCGTGTTTGCTCTTCTCCCGATTTGATTTGTTTAAATGAATTTTAAGCTTAAATACTGTTCGTTACCTTCATATTTGATCTTCTAAATTTAAGGTCACAGTGACTTAACTTTTAATCCAACACACCTTCTACCAAAAGATGCATCATGCAGCTGACAAGTTTGAGGATTCCAGGACTAATAGTATTAAAGTTATGAGCCGGGCAGGAAAAAACCGACATAGTGACGGACAGCTACAGAGACAGACGGACAGGTAGTCGGACGGACTAACCATAATACGTCCCGTCAAAGACGGCGTATAAAAATGTATACATTTTCAAATCACCCATTTCTTTTAAGTGCTCTAGATTTTCATTTTATATTGCATGGAAAGTGAAAACTTGACAATAAATAAAACGATTATATCGTTAATTAATTCATTTATGAGCTGCTCAATGAAATGAAGTTTTCCCTTTAGTAGAAACACCTTAGATTTTTTTTATAGTTTATACTGTATGCAAGAGGTTCAGTAAGATTTTTATTTCATGCCATCGATTTATTTAGCTACTAGCGCATGCTGGAGGTGCAATGTTATATTTGATTTTAATACCAGTGTACCTTTTAAATGTGATTTTAAGGACAATGTTTGAAACGATAATAGGATGGTTCTTAGTTAAATACAAATATTGATATACCGTATAAGTGGATTTTTAGTGAGACTCAAATTAAATGATTTGTCCTTTAGCATTGATATGTAATTTTAGCAAGAAATAATTATAGCTATTGTAAAATGCCATAAATTTAAGGCTAATCTCCTCTCCAAAATTATTAGCAATATTCAATTTTAGCGACCTCAGTATACTTCCTTATAATGCCAAGATTGCATCTTTAAAAAAAATCTGCTCATGTGGTATAACATTCAAAACGAAAAATTGAACGTGCTTGATTAACAATCTCAGAAATATCGTATGTATTAAATAATTTCAACAAATTTTAAAAACATTCTGCTTTGAAAAACACAGATCGAAAAAAGACCTTTATTTTATTTTCACATTCAAGCAAAATGCGTTCGGCAATATTGCATAAGAAACAATGTGAATTTTTCAGATAAGATATCTTGTGCTCTATTTTCTCTGAAGTAGTGGTACTTGAAATTTGAACAAAAATCGATAAATCAATAAATATGAAGACTGTGCATATTCTGATTTTAAAACAGGAAGAATAACAAGTGTTTATTTAGTAAGTATTACTTCTCGTAAAAGACTATTTGAAATTTCCATGTCAATACAATTTTCTTTCCTTTAATTAATGATGTAGCAAACTGTAATAAGTACTTGCAACAATTTTTACGTTCCGGTAGCTCTAGAAGTGAAATCGTGAGTATTGCTGTAAAAGAAATACATCGTAAAAGCTCAGCCAGCAAATAAAAATCCCAAACATGTATATCTACCTCTGTTTATAACAAAAAAAAAAAAAAGAGCCCCAGGAATTACTTTTATACCTAGTCAGTATGATTGAGATACTTGTTGAAAATGTTAAAAGTTTACAGACACACGGACAACAAGGGCTCAGGGCGGGTGTAACCCGGTCGACAGGGGATGCGTATTCCTCCTTGGCAACTGATCCAACCTTTGGTTTCCAAGGTCCCTTCTTTATTATTTGTTTATGACTCGACAAGATTTATGATATCTATCGTTGTGTTATCTTCACCTTTTCCTTTCAGATCTACCCATATATTATAAACTTACCCATAATCTTGACTTTTAATACTTCTTCATTTAACATTTCATTAATTGATTTATAACATTTCACTATACATGACCATAAGCTAAGTATAGAAGTTCAGCATTCAAAGTGTTCTTTCTTTGTTATGCACAGTACAAAGGTAATTTGACAGTAGTTTTCTCGACAAACTACTAAATATGAGATATTGAATATCAATAAACTTTCTATGCCAAAAGAAATCATATTTGATATGTAAGGGGTGAATATATTTTGTACATGAGTAAATCCATTTGTAAATGTAAGATTAGAGACTTTTTCCCCTATAAAATATATGGTGGAAAGTGCAACAGTTTGTTTAATCAGAGGACTGAGATGTTTTAAACATTGAGGCTTATTTACAAGAATATACAATGATTCGAATAGAAATGGAGATCGTCAAAAGCCAAACATCCACATTCTAGGTTTAATGGGTTCGGAAAATAAAGTTAAGTTCGTATCCACAAAGACCGAATAACTAAACAAAAAAAACACAAAAAAAAACACACACAAAAAAAAACAAATATATGTGATGACATTTTACCAATAATTCAGAATTACCATATTTAAAAGAGAGAACTGTCCTTTTTACAACAATTTTTACAACAATGCAATTGTCTTACGTTTTTACACAAAAGAAGGATATAGAGATCCTTTAAAGTTTCAAGCAATTACCACAAAACTTTACGTATAATGAACCCACTTCTTTGTTTTTGCACATATAAATTTGTATTTAAGTAAGAGATAAACCATGATGATAGAGATTTATAGTCAATCCGGAAGTATTGATTTTGTAATTTTCTTTTACTAGGAATCCTGTAGGTTTCATATTTCCTTTTCTTTGTTTCATTTTTTAGGTTTAATAATTTCATTAGTATGTAACGATAAGAAAAAAAAATTGCAAAAGTGCAAAAATCATATTTACCCCCCCCCCCCCTCTCTCATTAGTATGTAACGATAAGAAAAAAAAATTGCAAAAGTGCAAAAATCATATTTACCTCTCTCTCTCTCTCTCTCTCTCTCTCTCTCTCTCTCTCTCTCTCTCTCATGTCTCGCTTTCTTTTACAGGTGTCACAGAGTTTGTAGCTGTTTCGTCTTTTAAAGAAATCTAAAATGGATTCATCAAAAGTAACATTTAATCAATATCTTTTGTCCTAGTAGATTATCATGTTTTTGCTTTATGCAATTCTAAAGTTGTGAATTTTTCCGCTTGATTTCCGTTTGATTTACTAAATTCTAATTCTTTTAGGAAAGGCCGGACTCGGGTTACATCACATGCTCAGCTGAGACAATCATAAAAGCGCAAGTATATAATTCTTAACTCAGACTTTACCCCTTCTATTATCGATTTTCTTTAGATGTGTTTGGTAATCATTTTTAATATTATTATTTATCCAAATAAAGGAGCATCAAAAATACGATGATGGAAATCCATGCAATGTATATGTGGAACTTAACTCCTCACATTATGACAAAATATCAGATTCTGCGGTAAGATATATACATGTACAGGCTCAGTGGATAATTAATCCATTTTGTTTCCAAACTACAATATTGTCCATATTCTTCTCAAAGAAGTGTAAATTTTGAATGAAAATACATAAATCCATACACATTGGTTGAAATTTTCCAACACTTTAGATGCATGTGCAAAACAAAATATGAATTTAAATGCCTCAGATCAAGAACCCGTCAGATCTCTATTTCAAGAATTTTTGCTGATCTTTCATCTGCGACTGTGCTTTATTAAGCAATGTAAAGTCAAACTACAGACTTTAACTAAATAAATTCGATAAGAGTTTTGTAATTTCTTTTTCTTTATTTTTTTTCCAATGAGATAAGAATTAGAATTTGAAACAAATTTACAGTAATTCCAGCATTATGATAAACAATCTATCAATATCTAATGACGTTGATAAATATTGTTGCCTTTAGGTCATTTTTGAAACAACCAAGTCAGATAATGAGTACGTGACGCCAGCTGAAATCCAAGATCCGGGATACTCAAAAATTGTGAGTTTTGCCTCCAAAATCCGAACCGTGAGTTTTGCCGACTAATGAGCATTTACGTTTTATCGAGTTAACACTCATTTTTGTTTTGTTTTTTTTGTTTTATTTCCATTGTTCCTTCTAAATGTCTCTGAAACTTGATGCATCAAATGTAGCAGCGAAACACGCTTCGGGCACCTAGTACATATAGAGGACAGGTCGCTTACTACCACCACCACCCGCTTTTTCCGAAGATAAACTTTACACTCAGTTAATTTTGCATGAAATGTCTATAGAAAAGCTGATCCCATTTTTTTTTTTTTTTTGTTTGTTTTTTTTGAAGTGTAGTCAAGTCCCATTCCATGGTATTTTTTTTAAATTTCATGTCAAAATGTGTAGTTGGAACCTACTCTCACCCACTCCCCACCCCCCGAAAAAGGTGGGGGTTTGTTAACTTTTTTAGCTATTTATTTGCTTGTCAATGATTTTCCGACTGTCCCCTATTACAAAAAAAATGTGCTAGATTACTGCGTCTTAAGTTTAAGATTTAATGATCTTAGACTGAATACTGGTATGCTGTTAGAGCTCGCTGTTGTTTGTAATTATGTAATTCTCAACTAGGACAAGTGTTACCTGTCAAAGAGTTAAATTACCATGAAAATCTTTCAGGTGTATTAAATGATGAGTAATTCAGCTAGACGCTTAAATTTCAGAATTTTTAAGTGTATCAAGAGATCAGATACATGTATATGATGAAGGAAATGATTAAATAACTATTTGGCATCAGGAATTGAGGGCATAGGTCAAAAGTATTTATATCTCTTCAAATGTGTACTTTTCACAGAAACTGTTGATTCCTGATCTATTTCATGTATAAACATGTGCTATCAGTTTTTCTCACAATGTGTAGTATTTGAAAAATGGCGAGGATATAATGTCAAAATCCTCTCCTTTATTGATATATGCTGGAGTCTATGGTGTCTCATTCATTTCTTTATTTATTACTTCACCTTTATATATTTGCATGGCAATTATATATATATATATATATATATATATATATATATATATATATATATATATATATATATATATATATATATTATATATATAAATAGTGCACGTTTTTGAGGGTAACAGTTGAAATTGACACCCCAAGGAAAACCATTGTCAACCGACGCGTCAGCGGAGGTTGACAATGGTTTTCCGAGGGGTGTCAATTTCAACTGTTACCCTCAAAAACGTGCACTATTTATTTTATTATACTGAATGTCTTTTTGATTTCGGATGTCATAAAAAAAATTCGGAGATCGTCGTTAAGGTCACGCTTAGAAAGCTTTCAAACTCCCCGCTTCTATTTTTCTCAATAAGAAAGCTTCGGAAAAGATTTACCAACCTCTTTATTGTTTGTTTGCTACTCAAAAAGTCCTTTATCATCTAAAGTTTGCACTCGCAAGGATGTTTCGTCTGTCGTTTGTTGTTTTCAAGTAAGCTACATCGGACGCAAGCTTATATTGACGTCATTTATTCGGCTTCTTTCAAACGCACAACCGACGTTTTGAGAATTCTACGGTGAACCGTACGCGCATGATTTGAACGCATGTGATATTTTCGTAATGTTACCCGTTGTCAAGTGTGTTGCTAACGCTGAGGGTAACATTACGGATTGTTAAATGCGTCTAAACCAATCAGATTTTAGTATTTAACATGAAAGTATAATAAATATATATATATAGAAAGCACAAAGAAATTCACTTTTTTAGGATACCCACTTCCATTTAAGAGTTGTTGTAAATTGTGCTTAATAAATGAAATTAAATTTCATTACAACGTGTATTGGTAACGATCCTCTAATAAAACTAATGTCCAAATAACTGTATCTCACTTCTATTCTCAATGACCGTGTAGTGTAGGGCGGCGCTGTGAGAATTCCATCGGCATCGAAAGCAAGTTTTTTGACTTGCCTAGATAGCCGAGCGGTCTAACGCCCTGTTCCTGTACTGCTAGGAGACAGATTCCGTAGGTCGAGAGTTCAACCCCGGGCTGGGGCGGAAGTGGGTATCCTTATAAAAGTGAATTTCTTTGTGCTTTCTATATTAATATTCTTCACTTAGGGCAGTTATGTTAGTTTAAGAGTTGTTGTAAAATGTGCTTTATATATATATATATATATATATTTATATATATATGTCTTTTATTATGTGTTCTTGCATTTGCACGTCTTGAGAAGTTCTTTGACTGGATATGTATATTACCAAATCGATGTAAAGATTAAAATCAATTAGAGATATGTTTTTTTATTACAACTCATCGGGTTTACAGAATGAAATCCCAGTACATGTTGTTCGTCCTTTACAAAACGAAAGACCAAACAAGAAAAACACATACATGTATAAACCGGAAACCGTTAAGGTAAGCATTTATTTACATGGAATTGACAGCTGAGTTATAAACTTCAATTCAAGTTTATCTATTGTTATCAGTTCAATGTAAAAAAAAAAATCAAAATCAGAAAAAAGTTCTAATCATAAAAAAAATCCACAATCTTCACGTTCGAAAAGAAGTCTCAATATATTGTAGAAGTTACATTTTTAACATAGAATTAAGCATAGTAAATTGAAAGACAATTTTGAAAATACTATTTAATTTTGCAAGTCGTTTCATCAATCGGAAGCAAAACCACCCCTTCCAAAGAGAAATCCGTTGAAGTCCAAAAGAAGCAAGCGACCGTTTCTTATTGGCTGTCTCTTCTTCTTCTTGATTATAATAATCTCCTCTCTGGTGACCGTGGTTGTTCTGTATATCAACAAAAAAGGTGAACAAATAGGTTATTACTACAATGAATTATAAGCTTTCAGTTTTGCCTAAATTGTATTCTTTCGGGTGTTTAATTCTTCTGTTTAAATATTTAAGATACACCTGAAGCCAATGCAAACACACAGATATCTTCAACAGGTGAACTTTAAGATTTTTTTTAATCAAAAATTACATGTAAACATAAAAAAAAATACTATGAAATCACTAATTTTAGTGCGGGTTAAATTTTTGTTCTTTTCTGAGGTATGAAGAGACACACGAATTCATGTTCACCAAGAAATGCAAAATGCCATTTACATAGCTTCTCAACAATTCTTAATCCACGAAATCAAAACTTATAGTTTTTCCTCAAACCACAGAAATTTGACCCACGAAAATATGTGATTTTACAGATTTATTTTAAAGATTTAAATAAAAAAAATATAAAATTATAAATTAAAAATCCCCTTCTTTCAAGATGGAACAAAAGTAATAAATGTTAGCAACAAAATTTTATTAAAAGTATTTGAAATACAATTTATTGAATATCAACCATTTGTATTATTATTTAGATGCGAAAAAGAATACATCTATGCCTACTACAAGAACATCAAAGACAACAATCTCAACAATAACAGTACCGATTACAATGACAACAAAGCCATCAAAAATGACAACAACGACATCAGCTTCAGACATATCGAGTAAGATAATATTTTAAAAACACTTTATTCCCAGACATTTCCAAAGGTTACCTGTGTTTTTGTATTTTATACCTAATTCTATGGTTTTACAACTTGCTTATATTGATAAAAAAGAGGGCATGTATCTAAAATTATTTAAATCAATTTCATCGTAAACAACCTCAATTTTCAAACAGTACATTCACAAGAAGTTTTGACTAACTTAAAAAAATTATTACACATAATTACTCTTAGAATTTTTAGAAAAAACATGTAAAGAAACATTCCACTGGATCAAGTAAATTTAGGGTCCCATAATAAAAAAGTTTTATTAGTTTTTTTTTTATTTTCAGCTGTAGATAAACACAAAGATTGTAAGGAAATATACCAGCAAGGTTATACTACATCCGGGGTGTACACAATTTACCCCTACCTCCCTGTTACCAGGCGAGTGGAGGTTTACTGTGATATGACAACCGATGGAGGGGGATGGACGGTATAAATCTGGGTTAATTACTGTTAACTTATTCATTTACAGGAATTATATTTTAGTATGTTAATTCCTTTTTCCCCTTGCCGCTTCTTGTCCTCTGATTAATATACATACTAGTAAATGATTCAAGTTGATATTACTCGTTTTAAAGACTCAAGTATGCCAATTCAGATATATGGTTGGTCTAATCAGTTGAAGAGCAAATCTGCGCCAAATTTTGAGTCTGCTTGTTTATATTCGTTAACACTGTGTGTATCTATTAGTAACGTTGAATCTTAGCCACAATAGAGACACATTTTTGCACTTTTTAAACTCTTTAAAAAGTAATGTCGGTTTGTATCGACCCATTGGGCTTGGGCTGATACCAGCTGTTTGGATGATACCAGGGCCGAGATCAAGCAGCTAAATCACATAAAGAAAAAAAAACGAAGACAATTTCATTTAAAAAAATAATGCAAAGATTTTTTTTCTTAAATAATGATAGAAAACGGTGACTTCTTTAATTAAATTGTTTTCGTTTTCTTACGAGATATAAACAACATCACAATTCGAGTGTTATATTCTACATGTATTGGACCATTCTTGTGGTCATATATATCTCGCTTAAAGATGACGTAATCTTCACTTATTAATAATAGAAAACACTGAAATGCACCGACTCAGATGTATGAACTATAGGTCTTTACCTAAGCATAACTTGCTCTAGTGCAAAATGAACAGTTAACGGCAATGAGTTATTTAACATTTCGGTATGACATCAGTTTCAACATCCAACCCACCTGCTGAAAGCCTAAATTATCGATAAAAATGAAGTAATTTAGTCAATCGTTTCTACCAGGTGTTTCAACATAGGAAAGATGGATCTGTTGATTTTTATTTGGATTGGGTGGACTACAAATCAGGGTTTGGAGAATCAAAAGGAGAACACTGGCTGGGTATGTAAAAGAAATTGAAAATATGTCCTTTGGAATCAATAAAATAAACCACATAATAGAAACGAAGTCATGTCCTCTGTTGTTTTGTACTTAAAACTGATATGTTGGAGGCCTGCTGAGTAACGTATCATTTTTGAGGTCATCTATGGATAAAAATGAAATGTGAAGATAATAAACATTCATAATTCTAAAAAGTCCGATAAAACAATACAAATTGAAAAGAACAAACATGGACATCTAAAAACATAAGTGAGATCAGGTGTCATGGAGGAGAAAGCATTCCATGTCGGTGTGGCAGAGTGCTTCCTGTCATGCAAATCATAAACCGTAAACGGGAAAATTCGTAGTCAATTCAGTGTGAATATAATTGCTTGTTTGTAAGAAAGTCCAAAACTAATATTAATTTCTTCTACAGGAAACGAGCACTTACATCAGCTTACGATGCTTGGTTCGTCTGATTTCTATGTTCGTTTAGAAAAATTCAGCGGTGGCTGGTTCTACGCCAGATATAATGATTTCGTGATTTCCAACGAAACTGATGGTTATAGAATGAGACTAAGAAATGGATCATATCAGGGAAATGCAGGTAAGCAAGAGGAAAAATATTTCAAATATCAGAAAAAGATGACAAGATTAGTTCGAATTTTATTCTGGAAATACAGCAACTTTAAGACGTTTCTTTATATGAAAGACTTTACGGGTTCCCTATGATGTATATGTCGTTTAATTCGAAATTTTAAATGTAACTTAAGGGGATTCCATTGAAAGTCACGAAGCACCAACGAATGGACGTAGATTCAGCACACGTGACGTAGATAATGATTCTGCATCAAGAAGTTGTGCAGTAGCGCGCAAAGGTGCCTGGTGGCATGGTGAATGCACATGGGCAAATCTGAATGGAATATACGGAAACGGAAGTTGCCTGCTAGCTGGGAATTGTAATTTTTGGTACTCATTGACAAACAGTTTTAGTGGTGTAAAAACTTCCTTTATGATGGTTCGAAGAGTTTGAATTGAAGACTGACAGAGACTTAAAATATCTGTAATTGTTTTATTGCTTAAGTTTAATTAATTTTGCTTTTCTCTTATTTTCTTCTAAAATCATTATGATAATCTTTGAAAGACTACAACAGCTCTACATCAAAATTGTAATGAATCAAATATTTTATCTTTTAAAGTGTAATTACACATTTCAAACTATGCACTACAATGGTTTAGTACGTTAAAGAAGATAGAATTTAAAAAATAAAAGCTTGGAGAATATACATAAAATTTAGAGGCCCTAGCAATGTTGTGATGGACCATTGTCGCTGGTGACAATAAGAACAGAACTGCACTACACATATTGTCACTCATCGGCACACATACATGTATGTACTGTCTTTGTCAACAATATTTGCTGATAAACTTTTTCAAAGGAAATTTAGAAATTAGAAGAAATCTATCAGTTTGAGTACCATTCTTTTACTACATGTAAGCATTTAAGAGTGGTAACAATGAAGAACAGACACTTTTTAGAATCTTATAATTACTATTTGCAAGAAGATTAACTTGATGTTTTAGGAGGTCGGTAACGTGACAAGACATGGCGTAGGACGCATTTTTTTACGAGCACTGCTGAGTGGAACTATTATAGTGTATATCGTTATATATCAGTGTATATTTGGTTTGTATAAGCTTGTGATGGGAGTGGACAACGCTTGGTTAGTCGTCAGGGACTTATTTTGCAATTTAATATAGAAATTCTTAGTGTGCTCATATTTTTTGGCTTCGCCGTGAGTCGAGTAGTGTTCACACAAGCATGGCCAGTAATGTTACTAGTCCCTCAACTACATCGCCAGCTACTGGTAAAGACAATAAAAAGAAAAAAAATTATCCAGTTGAACATTAAATCGGCATCTACTTCGGTAAAAAACACCGTTGTGTCTGATAAAAAAGCTTCAAAAAAGCCTCGATTAAGTAGTTCTGACCAAAACCCCGTCGGTGCCCCAGACAGTGAAAATGACCTACATTCAATACAAGAAAGTCTTGACGAAATAAAGCAAGGGATGGTAACAAAAGATGATATTGGTGAGATTGTGAAAAACATATTGTCAGAACTGAAAGGTGAATTTGTTAAAGAAATCAAGATTGCAATTAAAGATGAAATAAAAAAGGAAATTAAGAGTGAAATTAGAGCCGAGATAGAAAAATTCACACACAGGAATGTTGATGAAAAAATGAAGCATGCTAACATTGACAATACAGAAAAATTTGATGCCTTGAATTTAGACTTGACTGATGTGAGAGAGAAAATCGCAAAAGAAAAAAGAGAGCTACAAAAACTAAGCAATGACCTAGCTGTAGCGTCTAGGAACGCTCAACAAGCAATATCAATGGCAAACTTTAACCAACAATATTCCCAAAAATGTAATATTAAAATACTGGGTTGGCGTGAGCAGCCAAAGGAAAATCTTAAAAGGGACTTTTGCACGATCCTTAAACAAAAAGTTGATCTTGATGTGGACCCTACAGACATCCTTGCAATTCACCGAATCCCCGGAAATCGGAATGGTGGATCGCGACCGGTCATAGTGCGGATGATCAGTACGGAGGCCAAAACAGCCATTATCAAACATCGCAAGGCAATGAAAGACGAATTTGTTATGATGGATCACATCACTCAACTGAACGCAAAACTCACACAGACACTAAAGGATCACGAACTAGTGCATTCCGCCTGGTACTTTAATAGTAAAGTGTTTGCCCTGGACAAAAACAATAGACGCCACACATTTGATATTTTTGATGATATTAACAAAAAACTTAGAGCGTGATTTTTAAGGTTCCATGAAAGTAGCGCACTCAAAGACGCTAAATGCATTGGGATCGAGCTCAGTGCTTTGAGATCTCGGGATCGGTATTCCGGAGAACACATTGTTTACGTCCAGCAGTTCTTAACGGGACTTACTTGACACTTTTTGTTTGTTTCTTTTGGTATGTATGTATGTGTGTAAGTTGTGAGAGTGTTGCCTATCAAATCAGTATCACCATATTTCAAGATTATGTTTACATATTCTTTTCTTTTCTGCGCTGTCACTATACAGTCGTTCATTGACATAAATATCACCAATCAATGAGTCTAAGTATATTGTCCCTCAATTGTAGAGGGCTTGGTGGAATAGAGAAACGGAGAGACGTTCTCAATTACTTAAAACAAAAACAATTCTCTATATATTTTCTCCAAGACACACACTTTACTGAAAATGATATCAACCTTGTTAGATCGTTATGGGGATTTGATGTATATATCAGTCCTGGTAGATCAGATGCCAGAGGAACGGCGATACTTTTTAATAATAACATTGAATATAATGTAACAAATAAATATATAGATGAAGCAGGTAATCTGGTCATTTTAGAGGTCAACCTAGCAAAAAAGTATGATTTTTTATTGGTACTGTAAATCTATATGGACCCAATACAGATCAGCCTGATTTTTATAGTCTGATCAGAGATGAAATTGAGAAATTCCAGGGTAAGTTTGTGTTAATGGGAGGAGATTTTAATTTAATCCAAGACTTTACTCTATAATTATCGTAACATTAATAACCCTAAAGCAAGAGAGACCCTGCTTCAGTTAAAAGAAACCCAGGACTTATGTGACCCCTGGAGGACTAAATATAATAATTCTAGAAGATACACTTGGTTTAAAAACAATCCAGTAAAAAAGGCCAGACTTGACTACTTTCTGATATCAAATGAATTAATGACCTTTGTAGATAAAGTTGATATAAAGTCGGGGTACAGAACTGATCACTCAATTATTGAACTTCATATTTTATTTTCAGATTTTAAGATGGGTAAAGGGTTCTGGAAGTTTAATAACTCTCTCTTAAAAGATGAAAATTATATAACTTTAGTTAAAGAAACAATAAATAGGATTAAATTTCAGTATGCAGTGGCACCATATAATCGTGCAATGATTAAGGATATTGAAAACACAAAAATTAATTTTACAATTGATGATCAATTATTCCTAGAAATGCTGTTACTTGAGATAAGAGGTACCACTATAAAGTATTGTTCTAGAAAGAAAAAGGAAAGAGACAGAGAAGTAAATATTTTAGAAGAAGAAATACAAGAATTAGAAATCATCGGAAATTTTAACAATTCTCACGAAACTGATGAAAAACTTTCTACTGCAAAATCTAAATTGGAAGAACTTAGAAAACATTATATAAATGGTCTGTTTGTAAGAACAAAAGCTAAATGGGTAGAATATGGTGAGAAACCTACAAAATATTTCTTGAGTCTAGAAAAAAGGAATTATATCAATAAAACAGTAACAAAACTAATTAATGATAATGGTTTAACAATTACCTCGCAACAAGAAATCCTGAAAGAAATTGAAAATTTTTATCTTAATTTATACTCCTCCTGTGATAACACTTTACTAGATATAAATTTAAATAATTTGATACTTAAGGACAATATTCGCATCTTAAATGAGGAGTCGGCTTCCAAATTAGAGGGTCTGATAACCAAGGAAGAAGCATCACTGGCATTGAAAAATATGAAAAATGACAAGAGTCCCGGCAGTGATGGCTTCAACGTAGAGTTCTTTAAATTTTTTTGGAAGGATATTGGAGATTTTATACTTCGATCTATTAACTTTGGTTTCTTGAAAGGAGAATTATCTAAAACACAGAAACAGGGAATTTTGTCTATATTACCAAAAGGTGAAAAACCAAGGGAATATTTAAAAAACTGGAGACCTATTTCTCTCCTCAATGTTTCATACAAAATTATATCTGCGTGTATTGGAAATAGACTTAAAAGTGTTTTAGATTATTTAATCCATGAGAACCAAAAGGGTTTTTTGAAAGGAAGATTCATAGGAGAAAATACTCGACTTATATACGATGTTCTACATAATACAAAAGAAAAACAAATCCCAGGGATGATGTTACTTATAGATTTTGAGAAAGCTTTTGACACTACTTCCTGGAGATTTATGTACAAGACTTTAGAATTTTTTAACTTCGGTCATGATTTTATAAGATGGATTTCAGTTTTATATAAAAATGCCACATTATGTGTTTTACAAAATGGTATTTTTTCCAGATTGTTTTGCATAGGTAGAGGGTGCCGCCAAGGAGACCCTGTCTCGCCATATATTTTTAATCTGTGTGTTGAGATAATGGGTCACCTTATTAGACAAAATAAAAATATAAAGGGTATAAAAATTGGTAAGGAAAAAGTATGCTTATTACAGTATGCAGACGACACAGTTATATTCTTGGATGGATCAGAAAAAAGTTTGAAGAGTGCATTAGATCTTCTTTTCCAGTTTGCTAAATTTTCAGGTTTAAAGCCTAATCTTTCTAAGACTAAAGCCATTTGGATTGGATCAAAAATTAACTGTAATGACAATTTGTGCAAGGAATATAATTTAGAGTGGACATCTGAGACCTTTACAATATTGGGAATAACATTTAATGCCAGTCTGGACAACATTGAAAAGATGAATTTTATTAACAGAATTAATTATATAAACAAAGAAATGAGCCACTGGGAAAAGAGGCATATTACACCTCTTGGTAAAATTACAGTTATAAAATCTCTCCTTCTTTCAAAAATTACACATTTATTGTTAACGTTGCCAAAACCATGTGATGAAACTATGAAAAACCTTGAGAAATCTTTTTTTAAGTTTGTATGGAACAATAAAAATGACAAAATAGCTCGAAATATAATGATTTTAGATTTTGATGATGGTGGCTTTAGAATGCCACATTTGCCAACATTTATTAAGGCACTTAAGCTTACTTGGATCAGGAGGTTAATACATACAGATTCTACCTGGTCTAGAATATTTATGGAATCTACAGGCTGTAATATTACAAAACTCTTACAGTTTGGATCAGAATATGCTTTATATTTTAGTAAAACAACAAATAATATGTTTTGGAAAGAAGTTCTTTCTGATTATAAAGAATTTATTAATTTATTTGAACCTGAAAATATTTTTCAGGTTATGAATGAACCTCTGTGGTTTAACAGTAGTATCAGAGTACAAAATAAGTCTGTTTTTTATAAACAATTATATGCGAAAGGTTTTCATATTGTGTCTGATATACTGGATACTGAAGGCAAATTGTTATCTTTTAATTGTATATCCATTAATTATGATGTTTTGATACCATTT